CTCTTCTCTGCAAGCGCCTCTTAGTTATCCTCATAGTCTGGTCGTTATTTCAAGGTGAACCTACGCGTTAGCTGTGAGTAGACAATGATTGTTAACTGCGAGTTTCGAGCAAATTACTACCGCCCCTGGGTTATCGAAACTATGGGCCGCATTGTTTCAATATGCAATTTCTATTTCTTAAGTAATGCAATTTTAACGCTTTTTCTATAATACGCCCAAAATAATGCTCGTATTTTAGCCTAGCAGGGATATGTCTGGAAAACAAGAACGGAGATTGATATACATAATACATACTCATTTCCTGTCATAAAAACGACCCAAGAAATCAGAAATTAATTATCTCTTTTTTAAGCTGAAATTTTTGTTTGGCAGCGGATAGGCAATCCATGTAGAAATAGGAACTAAGGTTCAAAGTTCTATAGAAAGTTTGTGACGCCGAATTTATTACGCGTTCTGTTCCTATTTCAGCTCAAAGAATGCATATTCCCGCCGGAATCTGTGGCCCGTTTCTTCCTTTCCTCACAAATTACCTCTCGGTCATTCCGAATCGAAGATGATCATTGTTTCATTAAAGGGTAACCAAACTCCTTGAATTTGCCAGCCTAACAATCACAATAAAGCCTTTGCAGTCATGAGGACAGCTCAAATGATGTCGGAGATATGCTCCTGTGCGATTTTCTTGCCTCCGATTGCGACTATATAAGTCTATCTTCAGTAGCTGAAGTATCATTTCGTGGACTTATCAACTTTATTCGGGTAACACTTTGGTTCAGCTCATTTGTGCACATCTTTGTTCCCACCAATCTGATAAGTTCAGGCTTGGCGTCGAGCTCCACGTCAGTTTTCGCAGGCATCGTTCGTACGTTCTGAAAGATTCGATGTCGATTCAAACTTTGACTATGTTCCTGCCACTATTTATCCATTTTGCAATTCGGACTTAGTTCTTCGAGCTCAAATGGAAAATGTGAGTTTTGTTGGAAAGTTAATCATTTTCCTTTGTTTTTGTAGATGGTATTGCGCAAACTTCTACAGAAGAATATTGGGCAAAGACGCTAGCTAAGTCAACTGCATAAAATTACAAAGAGATTCCAAAAACTTCGTATCTACACATAATCAAAATAAATTTTAGCATAAAATTTGGATCTTTAACTCATAATTCAGCGCCACGAGATTCGTCTAATCACCGAACGGCTCTGCGTTTAGGAAAGTATACGGCTATATACGCTCCTCCGATAATCTATGGGGTAT